TATATGAAAACTCAGAAGAAATAAGTATTTTTAAACAGGTGATCACTCTTATTTTGGAGCAATCTATAGGACTAGGACTAAGTCATAATTCCTAGGAAGATGGGGCCATATCAAATACACTACCACAATAAAACTGACAAAGTTGCATATCAAAATGTTAGCTGTTCGGAAGAAAAATGGAAAGACTCAGCCTACAGTATCCAGATGAGATCATGAAAAGTATGGAGGCTTGTCTATCTTGAGTCAATTTAAAGGAAGATACTGGCAAAAAACCTAAAGGGGTACCCAGAGTTTAATGTAACTGATGACCTGCTTGGTGTGAGGAGCCACATCTTTAAAGGTGGTCATCAGTGTGGCCATCTGGACTCACCTGGGTTGTAACTTTGTAGGCTACATAGGCATTCATACCATCCCCTGTGGGATAAGAAAAGAGGAAAGGATTATTGTGTAAATCAAAGAAATGTTACCTAGCTAACACTTAACCAGGAAGAACACACCCTGGAGAGCCTTCCATAAGAAAGGTTACTTATTTCATCTCTAAAATTTATACACTACCCTAGAATCCAGTTTCTATTTTGCCTCTGTAGTGCATATTATGCCCCTACAGATGCTGGCTGCACCCCAGTTTTGAGACAGACAAGAAAGTCAGTCCCTGTTTCAAAGCCAGGCTCCATTTATATCCTCCACAAAGCAGCACTGGATACTGACAATCCATCAGTTGTTACCATGCCAATATTTGGGCTGATTACACACATCTGACCAAACCAAACAATTCTCTTGCTGTATAAAGCAGGAGGAGAAGGAAGCAACTGAAGTAAAAGGAAACAAATAGTTCTACTCGAGGCTAGCTCAGAGCTTGGTATGCTCTTTCAGAAATATCATCATGGTCCCTTCACTGGTGCTGGAAGACACTGACCTCACTGATCTAGCATGTTCACCAGAGCAAAGGGCCTGGCCGGAAGATATGCTGGTTGCCTAGTGTCACACAAATCTCCCTTTCCTGGAGGAATTATTTTTCTGAAAAAGCCTTTGACTGTTAAATAATTTCTGATTCAATCAACTTTTTTTCTTTTGTGGTAGGATTCTGACCTAGAGCACTCAGGGACATAAAGACACTATTGATGGTCTCAACACTGAGAAGACATACACAGGACTCTAGACATACACGGCTCCAGTGCTGGGGCATGGTGTTTCACGGTTAGTTTTGTTCTCTTCCTCCCTACCCTGATTCCTCTCTAATCAAAAGGAAAATCTCATTAACAATTACTAGCTGCTATAGTTATTAATTAGCGATGAGGCAGGAGGGAAGTGGCAGCACTACATCAAGAGGGTAAAATATTAAAACCTGGCTTTAATGATGGCTGGAAATGACTGTTTTTATAATGTACCCAGAGAGTTGGAGATGATACCAGAATAGAAGTACTGTGGTAACAGCAGCTCCTACTAAAAAGGTATTCATAAAGAGCTAAACTTCAGAAATTATTTCATACTGATTAATCCCTTTATTTTCTTCTAAACCATTTATACTCCATTACCAAATACTAGTAAGGATGTTTAGTACTGTTGAAAGAAAAAGGTAAATTTTCTTAGCAAGTATTCAAATGTCATTCACAATATAATTCCCCCTTCTCTCACTGTCACTGAGTTGGATCCAGCTCATAGCTAATCTCCAGCTGGTTTACTAGGCTGTATACTGCACAGGAAGAAGAGTGACAATCTTTTTTCAGTGGAGCCATTGACGGATTCAAACTTTGCTAACTTCAGGTTAGCAGTGCAATGCCCTATGCACTTTGCCACCAGTGCTCCCTTACAATGTAATAGTTGTATTTAAATGTTTAAAAGGTCAATCCTGGCAAATGATTGCTATGGAATATATTTACCAAAATAAAAGAAAAAAGGACAATCTCATAACGTAGTGTTTGCAATTTTGGGAAATTCCAAATGGAAACACATTTAAGATGTAAAGCAGGAAAAATGAAAAAAAAAAATGCAAAACAGGATCTTTAGACACTTGCCCTGTATGCCAGCTGTACTACTGCAGGAGGGTGTGAAAATGCACATACTTCATATGCATACAGAATCCAAGATTTGAAAATGAGTTAATAATGTTGTTGTTAATAATATACAGCCTTAACATGTACATCAATTTTTCAGATAATTCCCAAGAGTAAAGGATGGCATATGCAAATCACCAAGCCTCCAAAAAGAATAGCCTGATGGAAGTAGGATTCAAATCTGTTTGGTGTGCAGAAAAGAAAAGCACATGCAGAATCAACAGCCCACGAAAACAGAAGGTATTCTTATAAAGATCAGGCCTTGATTATGAAAATGTTTTAAGTAGCTGATTTCCTGGGATCTACATGACTAGAAATCTAAACTATGGTGCAAGGTGATGAAAGCTCATCACCTAACAGTGTTTTGAATTTAAAGTAGATATATGGATGTTTTAATTTTTCCCTCTCCTGATTCAAACATCATGACTTCTTAAATACTGAAGTAATTATAATTAGTATTATCTATTTATAACCTGCATTATTCTTACAGGGATTGAAAGTAGTTAATAACTTGCTTAAAATCAGTATGATTAAATTAATACACATAAATATTAGAGGAGAAGAAAAATCATAGACATATGACCCAAAGTTATAATCCAGGCTCTACCATGAACCATTCTGTGTACAACAGGAAAGTTATTTTAAGTTTTCAATATTCTCTGTTACATGAGGAATTATATAATATGCTCTTGTGAGGCTCTTTGTATAGCCTACCAGTTCAACAATCTAGGAAAAGAAAAAATTCAATAGCTTAACAACTAACCAGTGTTAACAAAGTCCAATTCAACTTCATAAATTCCTCCTCTCAGTTCAGAAGAAAGAGAGGGTTAGAAATTACGTTTTTCCCTCCTAATTTATATAAGCAACACCTCTGCTGAGGACAAAATTCCACAATTAAATATCTACCTTGAAAAAAAAAAATATCTACCTTGAACAAAACAAGTTGAAGCCTATTGTTTTCTGTTCCTTAATAAACCTCATATGCTTTGGACAGGAAATGGTGATTTTACAAATCCAAGTTACAAAGTTAACTATTTACTGAAAAGAAATGTTTTACTGAAACATTTTTGAAAATAATTTATTGAAAATAAAAATGCTTTATTGAAAATCTAACTTCAAGGGGAGCGCTGGTGGCCTAGTGGCAAGGAGCTGCAACTACAATCCCAGAGGCTCATGGTTCAAATCCACCAGATGCTCTGCCAGGGAAGGAGGGACAATCCCCTCCTGTA